CTAGGGTGATCTCATCTCCAAAATATGTTGAAGGTGAAAGAGGTGCTGTAACTGAACTTGCACCTCCGTTTCCATCTCGGGGGATGTAGTTCCTGTCAGGGGAAGGCAGGCTAACATCCTGCTGCTCTGGTAATGGGGGGATTGTTCTGCCGAGACTCTTTCTTCTGAAATAGACTTTGAAGGAAGTATTTTCTTTGCTTTTGTGTGTTCACGCTGTGCCGTCTTTAAATGTGATTGTCCAGCTTCCAGTTTCTTCTTTTCATTCATGTTTGTTTTTGCCAACCACTTCCAAGTGGCAGAAATAGTGCTGGACCTTAGAGGAGGTTCATTGTTGTTAATATGCTTATTCCACAAACCAGAGGGTTCCTGTCACAGTGGCTCTGCTGTATAGTAGTCAGAGGCTACACATGTCTTGAATCATTCATCGTCTAGTCTGCAGTGAGCTCTTGAAATCCTCACGTCTGCTGAAGATTACCAGAGCAGCTGTAAACTCGGTCAACCCCGCCATGACTCTTGGGCAAATGGTGGCATCTCATATAAGTGGTAAAATGCAGCTCTTCCTGTTAAATGTGACCGCTGTGGGTTGGGCCTTTCTCTTTGAAGAACCACCGTAGAACTGGCCAGAAACTTTCCAGACCTGTAAAAAGTGCGAGAGCAGACACATTGCGTTTGTGTTCAGAAGTTTTACGGACTTTTGGCCTAAAGCCCCCCTTCCCCCCATGAAATTGACCTCACTGGCTGTAATGTGCCCAGCGTGTGCGTCTGTGCTAGCAGCTCCTGTCCTTGTAAGGCGTCATACAGCGTACGTTCTGTGGACATTTTTGTGAGTTGCGCCCTGCAACTGCATTGTCTCTAACTCTCAGTGCTGGCCTTTTTGAAGGTCAAGGGCCTGTCTTCCTGTAGTTTGCAATGGATCTTCCTAGTGAACAGAGGGGGGTGGTGTTTAACCTTGGAGAAGCCCCCCCTCTGCTAGGCTGGGTGCTTCTGCATTCAGCTGAGACTGAGGCTCGGGGTGGTTCTTCCTGCTCACCCAGACAGACCGTCTTCTGCGACCCGTCACTGCGGTGATCACCTTGGTGATAAGCAGTCGGCGTGAGTCACATGTCCTTTGGCCCTTTTGGTGGTAGAGTGGAAATGTGTAACAAAATGAGAGGGCGGGGTGGTGGTGGTGGTGCATTCTTATCTGCTATAAGCTCTGCAGAATCCTCCAGCTCTGCACAAGAGTGAACGCTGCATTTTGGGACACTACTGCGGAGTCAGTGCGTTCACGGCTGGCCGCAGAACTATATCAAGTGTTGATGGTGGCAGTCTGGACAGCTGAGCAGAGTGCTGTTTGAATGGCTCAGTTTCTAAATAAAGATCACCCACTTGCTTCAGCCATGCTCTCTGGCTCCCATTCAAGAATGTCCACTTATTGCCCTGTAGAGCAGGCATTTGAAGCACAAGTGCCCGAGTTTTGAAGTGCACGCAAATACCTGCCAGTCATTGAAAGCCAGTTCTTACTGTGTCTTTGTCAGGGGTTACTCTTTGGTTTGCATGGGGACAAGCGCAGATATAGATCGTATGGCCTTAATGCCAAATTATAAATGATGATATTTCAGTTCTGGCAGCGGAGCATTTCAAAAGCAGTGCAGGAATCCTGATGCAATCTGCACTAACTAAAGGCATCATACTGTGTGTTGTGTTGAGCCGCATTTGGCTGGCTAATTCACACGACTGGGACTTGGCAGACATATGGCGTAGTTGCTGTGTAGCTTCAGCTTCAGCTTCTGCTTAGCTTTGTCTTGGCTTTGAAGTGCCTGTGACACGAGAAAAACAGAAGTTTTTTTAACCAGGAAAGTTGTCTGCCGTTTACCCACGTTCAAAGCGTGTCTGCGGTGGTCTCTCTGCTGTACTGCTTTAAGGGTTTTAACATTTTTGTGGCTTTGGTTTGACATTTTTTCTGAAAGTCTCCCCCAGGCTGCTTTCTGCTTTGATTCGAATAGATTGGATTCATTTGCCCCCGTTGAACAGCTGCTGACGGAAAAAGTGGCAATGATCTGATCTCTCTGGGTGTCACATTATTTTTCTGAGAAAATGCAACTGTGCGGAGGGCTGTCACAACAAGTGTTTGTGCAAAGGGGAAGAGTGAGTCAAATCATTGACTCATTGGCAGGCTGTCACAGCCTGGTCTGACATTCAGGGTGGGGTGAAAAAGACAGCTTCAGTCAGTACTGAAAGTGCAGGACTGGCATGTTTATTCATCATAGCCCTCTGGGTCTTTACAGACAGGTTTTCTAATGAAGTGCAAATGCAAACATTTGACACCTACAAATATAATCAATCCTAGCTACCCCAAACACGCCCTCCCCCCACACACTCATACTTAACATACAAGGTCTAACAGAGAAAAATCGATTGGCATGCATTCCATCAGGCATTTGGAACAAATGCCAAGTTCTCCATATCCTTAAACAGCATTGCAGAGAAGGTCACTTCAGTTCAGTACATCTGCCTGTTACCTGTCCTGAGCAAGTTCAGTACTTTCAGTAACCTTAACTAGTACATAATGGCTAGGCTAGTTTGTCTCGCCATTACCAGATATTTGGTCTTTATTGTGAACAACCTGAATGGTGACCATTTGTCCACAATAATCTCAGATGTGACAGCATTCCTGATTCGGTTTGGTTTCACGTCTGACATTGTTTGTCATACTTTGTATGCCTTGGAGCAAGGGTGTTTGCTACTTTTAGGGTGATGTATTCACTTCGGTATTAAGAGCTGGATCACACTTTCAGCTTTTTTTTTTTTTTTTTTTTTTTTTGCCCCATGCACTGGGTGGCCAGTCTATTGTTGGCTCTTGTAGGTCAGACTGTTAACCTGGGTTTTGTTGCTGACGGTGGGCCTAGACGTGCAGATTTGTGTCACTGATCTGGCTGTCTGGCGTAGGGTGTCCGGCACGGGACAGATTATTCAGTAGCGGCCATGGGAGCTGCTGACAAAGGCAACACGTGTCTGGGCCCTGCGTTTGCTCTGTGCACCTCCCACCCTAAGCAGGCTGAGAGGGAAAACGTGTGAGAGGCTCACCGTTGTTGTCCTCGTGCTGTCTGTCAAAACTAACATGCCACCGGAGGTCACCTTAGTGGTGGAAATGCTAAATTACCATGTGCCTGTCTCTCTTTGTTGCTCTGTTTCAGGGTCATCTCTCTGAGGGACTGGTCACTAAATGGTACAGGTCTCCACGCCTTCTGCTGTCACCTAATAACTACACCAAAGCCATTGATATGTGGGCGGCCGGCTGCATCTTCGCTGAGATGTTGACAGGGAAAACCCTCTTCGCAGGTTTGTCCCCACTAACGTGCACACGCCCTCGTATTTACATATACACACACACACACACATTTGCACGCCGGCAGATACGCTCGATTTAGCTGCCTAGGAAGCAGGGAGTAGCTGGGAACTTTCTAAAATAAAAATATGGGACGTAGAGACCCAACTGGAGCGCTTCTTAATTTGGGTCAGTGCCACGCAGTTCACGCTGTCTATTGAGGTTGAAGTTTCAAAAGCGGTGAGGTGAAATTAGGAAGTGGCACCGAAATTAAGGGGCACGGATACTTTTATTATCAGGCCAGGGCCTGGATTCTAGACGCCGTGGCTACATTAGACGGCACAGAAATGACGGCAGGTACGTGCCTTGATGCGGCCTAGCCAAATTAGCCGATTTGCCTGGCGCGACGTGTCTCTCTCTCTCCGATTTGAATACGCGCTTTGAGCCGTTGGTCTGATGGTGCGTCGGGGGGCGGCCGTGTGCCTGCCTGTGTGTCCTCCGCCAGGCGCCCATGAGCTGGAGCAGATGCAGCTGATCCTGGAGTCCATTCCCGTGATCCACGAGGAGGACCGGCAGGAGCTGCAGAGCGTCATCCCCGTCTTCATCAAGAGCGACATGTCCGAGCCGCAGACCCCGCTGGCCAAGCTGCTGCTGGGAGTCAGCCCAGAGGGTGAGCCTCCGTGTGAACTTTGTTACGGAGAAGCACCCCCCCCCCTTTATTTTTTAATGTGTTTTTTATTATTATTTTTTTTGGAGCTACCACAGTGTGCTGCTGCTTCTTTATCAGTGTTTATCTTTTTGCACAACACCTGCAGTTGAGTGTGTCTCGGCTGAATTAATAGTCTCAGTGTGACTCCTCTGTGTTAGTTAGCCATTTGTGGCTTTGAATTCACTTGCGTCAGAAATCGCCATGGAGACTCACGAGTGGCTCAGTCCATTAAGACGTTTGGTTAGAATGCAGGCTGAGCCCTCCTGCCCAGGTTCAAGCCCAGCCACGTCATTAGCAGAATGACTGGAAGCCCATAGCAGTGGGGAAAAAATTGGGATGTGTATCTGAGCATGGTCCCCTCATCCTACTGCTTTTGTACACTCTGTTAGGCACATCAGTCCCTCAACTGGCATCACTGTGTCAGTGGTGCATTGTGGGACATGTAGTGTGAAAGATAGCAGTTGGTTGCAGATTCCAAAAGTTAGGGCTTGCATGCCTGTAAGTGACTGTGGGGGGGAAAGGCCTTGCTTTTGTGAGCTCACATGCTGAATTGTGCCTTGATGTCCCATCAGCCCTTGATTTCCTGGAGAAAATCCTGACCTTCAACCCCATGGACCGCTTGACCGCGGAAGAGGCCTTAGCCCACCCCTACATGAGCGACTACTCCTTCCCGCTGGACGAGCCCATCTCCAGCCACCCCTTCCACATCGAGGACGAGGTGGACGACATCCTGCTGATGGACGAGAGCCACAGCCACGTCTGGGACAGGTGAGGAATCCCAGCATGCTCGGCGGTCGGGCGTTGGGTTCATGTTGCATTACATTCCATTATTGGCATTTAGCAGATGCTCATATCCAGGTTGATTTACATAGCTTTCAGTTTTTTACAAGTTACCCAGTTATTACAATTACAGCTATTCATTTAGCAGATGCTTTTATCCAAAGCGACTTACAGTACATTGGAGGTATACAGTTCGTTGTTATGTGTGTTCCCTGGGAATCAAACCCACAACCTTGGCGTCGCTAGTGCCATGCTCTACCAGTTGAGCCATACCCATTTATATAGCTGGATGTTCAGAAATGATGCCTTGTTGATCCCAATCGTGTGTTCCTCTTGTGTTTTTAGATATCACGACAGCCAGTTTTCAGACCAAGACTGGACCCTCCACAGCACCCACGAGGCGGATGAGGTCCAGCGGGACCCCCGGGCCATGTCAGATGTGACGGACGAGGAGGAGGTGCAGGTGGACCCCCGCAAGTACCTGGATGGGGACCGTGAGAAGCTCCTGGACGACGTGGCCTTTGAGTCCCGCTTCCCCTCTGAGCTCTCCTGGCAGCACGACGACCACCACGAGAACAAGTACTGCGACCTGGAGTGCGGCCACACCTGCAACTACAAAGCCATCTCCTCCTCCTACCTGGACAACCTGGTGTGGAGGGACAGCGAGGTCAACCACTACTACGAGCCCAAGCTCATCATTGACCTGTCCAACTGGAAGGAGCAGAGCAAGGAGAAGGTGGACAAGAAGGGCAAGTCCAAGTGCGAGAAGAACGGCCTGGTCAGGGCCCAGATCGCCCTGGAGGAGGCCGCCCAGAACCCGGCTGAGAAGGACCAGGAGACGGAGAAGAGCCACGGCTTCGACTTCGACTCCTTCATCGCCGGCACCATCAAGCTCAGCCTGCAGCCGGAGCCCAACGACGTGGGCCTCCTCAACGAGCTGAACAGCTCCGTCTCCCAGCCGGAGTCCCGGGGCTCCATGTCCAAGTCGGTGAGCCAGGAGAAGGAGGAGAAGTGCATGGTGAACCTGGCCCAGCTGGAGGGCCGGGCGCCCAACCCCTGGGAGAGCTTCGTCAGCGCGGCGGGCCCGGGGGAAGAGAGCTGCCTCATTGACGAGGTTTGCTGGGACGTGAGGAAGGATGAGCAGCTGCAGAAGGAGACGGCCTACACCAGTTACCTGGACCGGCTGTTCAGCAAAAGAGAGGAGGTTCTGGAGCCTGACTACCTGGAGGCCAAGGAGCGGGAGGAGGGCTTCCTGGCCAGGAATGGAGAGATCATGTTCAGCATGCAGTTTGAGTCCCTGTCCCTCCCCGGCTTCGACAGCCCCTCTGATTCGCCTCTTAAATCCATACAGGCCACATTAACACCCTCAGCTATCAAATGTTCCCCCCAAGTTGCCCATAAAACCTACAGCAGCATTTTCAAACACCTGAATTAAATTCACACAGCAAGATTGTTTTATTTTTTTTGGTAGTATTATTTATGTTTTGCTTAAACCATTTCATACGTTTATGATTGGTTACATTTTAAGAACCATTTTTTTTACACATGAAATGACTTGATTGGTTGAGTTCACAAATTTGCAAAAAGTTGGAAAAGTGCTATAATTTTGTGAATGAAGTCTAGATATATTGAATAGAATTGTCATGCACACATATTACGATAACCGCAACTTTCATATATGTAATTTTATACATATTGTAGAACATTGTAAAATTACATATTGTGAAATTCAGTGGTGTGATATACAATATAGATACATTCATATAACATTTAAAACTCAAAACAACATTGTTTGCTCAAACTGGACATTTATTGCTTTAGTAAGGGAAGTGACAGGAAGATGTTTAATTTACCCTACAGGAGTTCAATGAACACACATCGATATGAGAACTGCCATGACCTTTGCACAGTGTACAGTGTACTGTAGACTTATAAATACTTGAGAGGGACGGATAGATATAAAGATGAGGACAGTGTGAGTATGGATTTGGGGTAGCAAGGCAGCAAGGCAGTGAAGTGGAAGTAGAAAGATGGTCAAGAATGTATACTAAATGAGTGGGAGACATGCTCACTGACACCTATTTGTTTTTTATTTTTTAAACTTAAGTCTGAAGTCTAACTTAATGTGTTTTCCTCCAAACGGCCTCATTGGTAACTTCTCATACTGTACCGTTTCTATGACGACATGATGCCAACATCTACCATTAAAGGTGGAAACGTGGTAAAGGTGTTATCTACCTCAAGGTAACGGCTGTAGGTCAGAACCTCTGAGCCATGCTACTGCTTTACAGACACGTTCACCTTGAAAGCATTTTACTTTCATTTTACGGTTTATTTTGCATTTGCCATAGCCAAGTGTTAAAATGATCATCATCATCATTATTTATTTTTCGCAAATGTGAGATATTTATTTTAAAATGTGTAATATCCGTGTGACTGTCTGGGAAAAGGAGGTGTTCATGCTGGCTACAGCACGACTCATGTTTAAACGGTAGGGTACTGATGAGCGGCTTAATTTGAAAAGCTTTCCATTTCCATTTTGATTTTTTCCCTTACGGAAATGGTTCAGTTTTTTTTTTAAATTTTAGGTGCTTTTTTGTGAGAAGAAATAACTGCATTATGGAACTGAAATGCACCTATAAGTCTTATTTTTATTACTTTTTTACATATATGAAACGTAATGTTAGAATTGTGTGGAGAGAAGAAACATGGAAGGTACTGTAGGGTAGAGAACTTCATGAAGTATACTGTAAGTCAAAGTTCATTTTAGTTGTGTTTATTACAATTTTTTGTTGTTTTTTTCCCAAACAAGCATGATTAAATTAGGTTAAAGGTATAGCATGTAGAACATTTATGGACATTTGTTTTGCCTTTAAATGCCTTTAAAAGTGTTTCACTTTCTGTATCATCCACTCTCTGTATCATTGGTTCCCCCTGTTCTAAAAATGAAATTAAACCAAAATGGCCAGCAAACGTGCACACGGTGAGGTTCTTTATTGTTGCTGTTGTTATTACTCATTACATTTTGGGAAGTTACGCCATCTGAAAATTGTCTATAAACTGGAAAGAAAACAAGCAGACTCATCTTGAGATTTGCTGAGAAGGTTGTTGAGAAGTTGGTAGTCTGCTGAGAAGTTGGTTGCCTTGACATCCCTCTCTTTCTTTTTAAGTCTTCAAAACCCAGAGCTTAAGATGTTAGACCTCAGCAAGCAGTGCATTCTGGGTAAGAAAACCAGGTCATTCATCACAAAAATGGCATTAAAAAAGCTCTGCCCAAAAGTGGTGATTCTGGGGGTTTTAAATGTTAAACAAGGTGTTGCTGTCAAGGAGTTTGTAGGCTAAGGCATAAGATATTGTGGACAACATAAGTTCTCCATGGCAAACCAAATTCCAACCTTAAAATATTCAAACACTTCTCCCCCTTCTGGTTTTACTTTAGTGGGTTTCATGCACGTTTGGTGTTGTTTATCCTGTTTGCTTTTGTTTTGGCTTCTTTCATCAATAGATTTGAGTTGGTTTCTTGTATTAACCACATGTGGACTTCACTGAAATCACCATTCTTTTGTTGTTTAACAGATAAACTATCCCAATTTCTTTGAACTGAGATGCAAGATTGCCACATACTTGAAGCTCATCAGCTTTCGCATGAGGTAGAAAAAAAATTCAGTCACAAAGCCAAAGCCCTTCAGCGGCATTGATGTGAGGCATACCTGAATTCTGGCCAGCTACACACAAGGCCAAAAACCAAACAGTCCAGTCTACAAACTACAAACACTACAGTGCCTAGCCATGGGCAAAAGAGGACAGCTTTTGTGGAGGAAAAAACACAGAACCTGTTAGATCCCTTTACCAACTATGCCACAGGTTCACAATTTCATTCGCTTAAATTACATTTGCTTAGCCAGAGTGAGTTGCTTAGCTAATTTTTACACGTTATACATTTATACAGCTGAATGTTTCCTCAGGAAATAGTTGCGCACACTGGAACTGAACATGCAAGCCCTGCTCCTTACCACAATACCATGAGGCTGCTACCAGACAAACACCTGACATGACATTAAACAGGTGGCGGAGACAATGATTTCAAGACAAAAAATCCATTAATATGGACACAGCAGAAGTTTCTTGCTGTCAATGGCAACAATCCTGTCTGCCACCATCCCAGGTTTTTTTTCCCAGGTGGCATTTATTAGCACTCGATTCTGAATCCAGATGGCACCCAAAGTGTTGGCCCCAAACACCTGAAAACTGCCTCACTCAAACATCTTGGACAGAAATGATCTGTCCTGATTTTTTTTTTTTGCCAGCGTGCCAAAGGCATTAGCAAACGACTATTCTCAAACAGCAGCCCTGCCAGTGCTGACAGTGCCCCCTGTGGCAGTATCTGTCAGCATTTGGGAGCAGACGGGCTGCAGGGGAAAAGGTCACAGGAACTGCAGTGAAGCAGAACAGCTACTGGGGGAGGGTCATTGTTCAAGCTCTGTTGGGTAAAACAAAACGTTAAGTATTATTTTCAATGCAAAGTTATTTTTTAATTTTTTATTTACATTCAGTACACAAGAGTCAATGATCCAACATGAGATCCAGTCTACCAACATTTTCACATAATCACAGCCTGTTCTTCTATCATAAGTGCAGTGATGTCAAAGGTTTGGATCTTTTGCTTTGTGATATGTGCTCGTCTGTCAGCTGGACCAACATACTAGTTCAGAGTGCAGAATGACGAGGGCAGGCCTGTACTGTCCTGTGAAGCTTTGGTGGGGGTTGGCATCTTTCTGGGCACAGTTGATGTCAGCCACGCCAGTGTCCTATTTCCCTCTGGCTGTGGCAGTGTCTCTGGCCAGCGTTCCGGAAGCGTTTATGATGTCCACCTGCCATGGGCTGTCGCTCCCTGGATGGCTGGTAATACTGCCCGATCCAAAGAGCCACTGGATCCGCCCAGTAGCCTACTGATCTGAGAGTTCCTCTCAACTGTTTTTGGGTAGTCACATAAAAAAACAAGAAAAACAGGTGACCTTCCCAAGGGTGCTGTTGGTCTGCTGTGGCTTACTTTGTTCACTTCTCCGCTCACTGTCTACGGGGGGGAAAAAAAAGATCTCAATCTTGTCAGGAAATCGGACAGAAGCAGCATTTTGGTGAGCTGATTCAGCAGGTGTTCTGCTCAGTTGGGGGAGGAATGTTGGTTTGGGGCATGTTGGTTTTAGGCTGACTGGTGAGTAATGTCACGCAGGCCAACTGGTTGCTTGGAGACGGGCAGAAGACGATCATCTGCCCCTT